AACTGCTTCTCGTAATCAATCATTGCCCCATTGGGGCTCATACAATCGATCCCCACTATAACCTTACTCCCACACAGGGGAATAGGAACGAAATCGATTGGATACTACTTGTTGAACAACTCCAGAACACAACCTCGAAGAACCCTAGATACTCGTATAGGAAGACCTCGCCAATCTCAACCTCTAGTAGACAATCCAGCTCCCCTGGAGCATCTAAAAAACCTTTTGTTGAGCCCAAGAGATACAAAGATCGGGTAGTCTTCGAATCAAACAATACCAAAGTGGAGATACGTTCACAAGGAACGATCCTAAAATAAAACATACATATATAAGAAAAAAAATTGGCATAAATAAATAGATAAGGAGAAGATACATACCCGTCACGACATTAGGTGTTGCACGAGCCTTCTCAACTGTCAGCTGAAAATCTCTGCTCCTCACAATAGGTGCATTCACCTTGCCCTGACGGCCAATAGGTGAATAGTCAATCCTGCCACTGCTAGACTAGGACAATAGGATTTTTTATGGACCCTTTGATTGTAAAGGAAGCAAACCAGGCTCGATCCCTGGGTATTCGTTGTGCAATCCCAACTAAAAAGGCCAGTATTGTCGCACTTATAACAACCTGAATCACCACTGCCCCTACAAGCTCCATCGTTTGTCTGTGCGCACTTGTCACAGCTGCGACGACCCTACTCGCCTCTCGATCTCAAATAAAATACCTTGGACCTCTTGCCCGAACCCTCTGAACCCTGAACCTGAACTTGATCTGAATTCCTGTTCCTCTCCATCTCCAAGTCAATCTCCCTCTCTCTGGCACGCGTTATCATATACTCAATTGTCTTGCAACTAGATTGTCTCACAAACTTCCTGATATCACTCCTCAACATCTCGTGGTACCTCACCTTCTTCAATTCCTCATCCGCCATATACCGTGGAACCAATAGCCCCCTCTCACGAAACATAGTAATGATATCCGCTACTATCTCAGTAGTCTGGCGAAGGTCCTGAAACTCCCTCGCCAATTGATGGACCTCAATAATAGGTGCAAACTTAGCCCGAAACCTCATCAAAAAATCCTCCCAATTCCTGGACTCAATCGCCTCACCACCTAAGGCATGCTCAACCTCCTACCACCAGTCTCAAGCTCTATCTTTTAGAAGACAAGATGAAAGTCTGACCTTCACCTCCACAGGAAAAATATTAGATCAATAGGCGTTCTGGATGTCTGCCAACCAACAGTTTCTCATAATCGGGTCCTTTTTCCCGAAGAACTTCGGAACCCCATATGCCTGAAACTCGCAGAAAGTCAAAGAGTGGGCTCCCACCATCGCCATCATTGTAGATCGAAAAGCGCCCAAGCGCTCATCCACAATACCTGCCTTGACCATACAAAAGATCACATAATTCTTCTGAAGTATATTGTAGGTAATATATGATGAAATGAACTCCCACATCCGATCATCCATATGTCCGGCCCCAGCGCCCGAACCCTCACCAGCACCACAATCATTACCAGTCCTCCTCGAGTGACCACCATACTGACAACAGACCATTCAAACCATCAGGAACACATAAATATATATACATTGACGAAACCCATATTCTGCAAGCTTCCTGGTATCATCGCGGCTTTCCTTGAATTAAGTACGGATCTTCTATTTCCAGTAGTACGAGCGCATACTACCTTCCATATCTATATGTACTTTCCTCACGTATCACCCCGAGTCCTCAAGGTCACTTCCTTATCAACCCAACAATTCTCAATATGACAATGCTCTCAGCACAGAATGACCTCCTAGGTCTTCCTAGGGCAACCCCTACACTACTCTCTGTCATCAGCTGTAGAAGGAACTCCCTTAACACCCTCTAACTAGCTTACGAATACAATTACATATTACCGACACTAGATAATGCTTCGACTGAAAGGTCTCATACTACAATGGTTGCACTCAAACAAGAGCTACGCAATAGAGTTAAAACCTAACCTTCTAAAATTATATAGTCTCAATAATATGTAACTAAGCATATTCTCTTACTAGTTAGCTGAAGTTAGTGGGAACTCCTAAAAGCACAAAGCAGGAAGCATTCGAGCATTGAGTAATCGGAAACAAGCATAGCCTAAACATGTCATCCTATCACTAACTGATCAGTACTAGCATACAAGAATACAAGCTCATACAACAGGCATACAAAGCTATCTCTCGTAGCATTCTATCATGCAATCCTCAGAAGATCCTTAGCCATAATTTAGCATGCGACTCACTTATTCACAATTGAAAGCATACCATAAAACATGTATGGGTATTTTGGGAAAACTTACTTGAGCTTAGTCGATTGCATGTACCATACTCCTTTCTTTTATTACAAAACTCTTTTTATAAAACATTTCCTTTTTTTTTTTTAAATCTACCAAATCCTTAGTTTGAGTTCAGACACACTCGAGAGTAAGCCTAAATCCCTCAAACCAAGGCTTTGATACCAACTTGTAACGTCCCAAAAATTTAAGACAAAAATTATCATTTTTAATAACAAAACCATCATCCAAAATGTTTTCATAAAACCATAAAAAGAAAATCAGAGTATGTCAATAATCATTCAAATACATCAAGTCAACAAAATGAAGAACAACATGGTGTGTGCGATGCGATCATCCCGAGCTCTTCCCCTTCGATCCGGAAGTACCTGAAACATAAGCTAAAAATTGTAAGCACGCAGCTTATTAAGCTCCCCAAAATACCGCATATCATACATATCTGCCAGCCAAAGGTTGTGTCGGGTCTATTTCACCTCCGAATCTATTTCAACTCGTGCATTGGCCTAAGCCGTACCGAGTCTATTTCACCCCCGATTCTATTTCAACTCATATGTCAACACAAGACTGTACCGGGTCTATTTCACCCCACATACATATAGCAAACACACACATGCATATAACACATACAACGGGAGTCATAAAGACTACAAGCACATACAATATCCTAATGTCCTAAAGTATAGTGAGCAAACTCACCTTAATCTGATGACAGTCAAACAAATGATTAGGATGTTGAACCGATAAATCCCCACTAAATCACAAGTAAAGAAAACCTAATTAGAAATTAGGTCGATAATACAACCCGCGAGTCTAAACCCTAAATCTTGGCCTTAAGGGAAAAAGTTACTTATTCCTTGCCTTATTGGGCCTAGCCCATCAAGGCCTAAATGCTACTAGCTACGAAGCCTAAAAGATAATATATCTCTAAAATGGGCCAGGCCCATAGGCCCATTGTAGAAAAGTTTACAGCCTAATAAGGGCCCAAAGTTCCTAAGTCCCACAAATGGCCCAAAATAAAGGCTAAAGTCCACTCTGAAGAGTACGCTCAACATACCAATCAGTACGCTCGACGTACTCACGACCCTTGCATAGTTGGGACCTAAGACGCGTACGTGCAATGTACCCCTAGGTACGCCCGACATACATTGCAGCTGACCAAAACCTCCTTCTAAGGTCTTAATCAGTTAAGACCCAACATTAAGTTTTAGATCTAAGCTTATTTAAGCGTATTAAGCCATAAAGTTGCAAAGTTTATGCTTTTACATGCCTTAATGGAGTCAAATCTTGGACTTAATCACATTATCTTCATGAAACACCCTTTAACCCTTGCATGGTTGAACTTAATCCCTTAAGACTCCATTTTATGCTGAAGGGATAATATAGCACTAGGATCAAATATTATAACCTTCTGGAGTAACTCCTACTCTCAAGAATCACCATAAGGACCATTTTATGATGAGATAAGCCCTAAACTAAAAACTAACACATGGAGTCATCAAGCTAGGATCATTTTACCTCCAATAAGCCAAAAATGATGAGAAACATATATTTTACAAGCTCTTTCTGGTCCAACGCTTCTTCATAAATCTTTTTCTTCTTCATTAAACACCACACACACCCAAAATACACACACAAGCTCAAACTTTAGCGAAAATGGATTAGGGTTTCCATATATGACTCAAAATGCAAAGGAGGCTGATAAGGTGATCAACTTAAGGGACTTAATGAGCTTAAATAGGGTGCAAACCATAAAAATTAGGGTTTTCCCTTTGCTTGAGTATGCCCTGCATAATCATGGGTACGCCCATCATACGTAGAGGTCATCCCAATTCACGCATGCATAGGAGTACACCGTACGTACCTAGTGTATGCCCAACGTACTCTTTTCTAGACCATGGATAATACTTGAAATAACTAGCAAAGAGATTAACTTGCCAAGACAAGCCTTACATAAGAGGTTGCCTCTTAAAATTTCAATTAAGAGGCTAATAGACAACCCCTAACAAATACATTTAATCGTTAGTATAATTATATTTTAAAAATATGCACAAAATAGCAATGTACTTTCATAAAAATCAAACTTTTATGCATGTTCTCTATCAACTACATTTGTAAATTATTCATGAAAGGAAAATAGCAACAGACTTTCATAAAATCATATTTGTACATGAAAGTATCAAGAAAGGAAACTAAATTGCTATTTTCTGCATATATTCCACTAAAACTGAAAAATGTACTACAAACATTTTACAATATGCATAAAATAATAATGTAGATTGATAAAAATCAAAATTTAAATAAAAGTGTAAAACTGTTTTTTTTTCGTGCCGTTTTATGTTTTGTTTAAATAAAATAGATTTTCTTTTTAATTTTTTTCTCTAACCTAGTATAACAATGTACTTTAAAGGGATTTATGTGTTGCTTGGATAGCCTCCGACGTTTTGCCTCTGAATCACGGAGTTCCCCCCTCAAGCTACCAACAACATATTGTGAAGTTTTTAGCTGAGTTTTGTATATGCCATTGCGGCAAACCCGGTCAGTGGAAAAAAAAAATAAGGGCAAAAGTTTGAGCAGCTGTGTACCGAAGGTTGCTGGCCATGCGTGTGCCCGTTTGGGCCGCAAGCAACTTCATTGTGCCCGAAGGATAGGTACAGTAACTCTACTCATGAGCGGAAATGTCTTCTCAAAATAATGAGTATTTAGTAACTGCCCAGCCTGGAACGTAGGCTTCGGAAACCAAGGGATGGGACGCAGTCCTCATTTTTTCAACCATGTAAGGTATGTCTGATGGAGGAGAGCCTCCTGACACGCCCAATGCACCTCTAAGGACAGAACAGGCACCGAGATAAGCCATGAGCGAGTCAATAAACGAAGAAGGCGATGTCTTTGAAGAACTAAGCACCACTACTATCTCTTTCCGCCCGAGTACAGAAAACCCATCGCCAAGAACATCCCCAATACCGCCAAGAAACTTGGGTATGGACATTGTGTTTCGCCTCTTATGAGGACGGAGGCTCACATCAAAATATTCGGTCTCTTCATTCGACGACAGCACCACGCGCACACTTCGTTTTCTCCTTATAGGAGTAGTACTTATTCCTGCTTGACCCACCACAAGAATATCGGTAGAAACAAAGACTAGAGAATGGGCCGGGAAAGTAGCCCCAACACCCGGTTGAGAAGACGAGGCAGGTCTATTATAACCAACATTTCCCCTTTCCGTCGGGAGCAATCCAACAAGCTCCTGCATATGTTTTTCAGATATAGGAGGGAGAAGAGTCTTCAAAAGGTCAACCTCCCAGTGACAAAGCTTACCCCGATAATGGACACACAAGGCCATTTCCAAGGAAATCTCGGCTTCGGCACCTGCAAACACAAACACCAAGCATGAGAACTGACAGACCAATAAAATACTCTGTTCTTATTATTGTAAAAAAAAAAAAGGGGGGGGGGGAGGGATGAGCGAATACCATATCTCATGATGAATAATTACATCATCTTCCCATGCGCCCTCCAGGCAGCATTCATGCTAGTTGCGACAAGGATGAAATATTTCCAGTTCTCCCCGACGACAGTAATGTTTCCCAGCCATTTGCCAAGAACTAGGTTATCCCGAATAGCTTGGGAAGATGGTCAGGAAAGTCTCGGGTCTTACAAAACCGGTGCCCCACAAGGTTTCAGTTGACCCAAAGCCATTGGCTCTGCCAATTTTTTTTCGGATGATCTTTCTCAGTGATCAACTGATGAATGCCCCACATTTTTGCCAACGTGTGGACGTCAGAGTTCGTAGACGCACAAAAGAAGTAACTGAAGACCCAACAAGTGGGTATAAAACCTAGGGACCAACAAATCAGTTCGAATCCCACGATCTTATTAACGACACTTGGGGTTAATTCGTCAATAGAAAAGTCGTAGTGATGCACAATCATATCAAAGAAGTCAGAAGTTAGCATGCATAACCCCGCTTCAAACAGAGGAAAAGGAACCCCCACTTTTCCTCGAGGGTAGTCATAGATCGATGATCCCTTCGCCGGAATCATCACGCCATGCTCTGACAAGAAACAAAATTGTTCTTGCAGTGGTCGAAAGTCCTCTACGGTAGGGACTCTACCGTAATAATCCATTGTTAATAACAGATGAGTGATGAAAAAGAAGGAGAAGGTGAAAGGTCTTGATTAAAGTGGGAATTTTAAAGGTAAAACTGGTGTCACGAGCTGTCTCATGATGGATATGACACATATCAACGGTGTTGTATAAGTTTGTGGAATGCCAAAAATAATATCAGACATACACGTGCTGTAATGTAGGCTCGAATGGTGACGCTACCAAGCTAACGCATACGCCTACAAGCTAACTGCACCTTAACCTCTTCTTCCTGGGAGAAATACCCCGGAAAACATGGAGCCAATCAGAGAGCTCCATTTGCCTATTTGAAGACATTCACGATCATCATTATATCGAAGATTCCCCTCTAGGAAAAATGTTAAAGAAGAAAAGTCAAACTAGTGCCAAGCTTGGCCTAGTTAGAGTCTAGTCATACCCAGTCTGAGCCCAATGTCGGGCCTTTGTCTGCATGGACTCACTGGTATGGCGGTTAAGGGGCAGAACTGCACCTTAACCTCTTCTTCCTAGGAGAAATACCCCGGAAAACATGGAGCCAATCAGAGAGCTCCACTTGCCTATCTGACGACATTCACGATCATCATTATATCGAAGATTCCCCTCTAGCCAATAGGGGAACAAGATAGAAAGATGTGATGGAGGATCCTTCAATACGGATCCGCCACGTCTCGTCTTATGGGGGAAGGCTCAACAAAATCAGTTAGGAGGCACGTGCCTCTCGATCAGGTATAAAAAACCCTTCTTCCCCACGGAGAAGGGGACTGGACTCTTTTTCTCTCAAACATTGTCTATATTCTCTCGGAATCAATTCTAACTTGATCGTTGGAGCTTCGTCCTGGGAACCATTCCTGGATGTTGTCTAACGGTTATCTCTTTTCTTTGTACTGTGATATCAGGAGAAGGAACCAACTCGACACCCACCCTTGATCTCAATCCTACCATCTCCGACATATCACAACATATAAAAAAAGAATTGGGGGTTGTGACAACCGTCAAAATTCTGGTCAATTCAAAGTCAAATAAAGTCAACGAGTCAAACCGGTCAGCTCAACTAACCCTTGTGTACTTGGACTTACGTTCAGTATTTACTAAACAACCCACTATTCTAATAAGAAAACATGAATCGAAAAGTACGTACAACTAGACCTCTTTAACCTAAAAATTATAGTACGTGGCAAGCCAAACTGTTAAAACAATGATGCATACTCATCGGGAATGTGTAAGATCCTTAAACAAGGCTTAACAGGGTTTACGAACCATGCATTGCGATGCCGGACACTCACAATTGTCACACATGGATCCTCTCTCAATCGTTTTCACTCTATCTCTGTCTATGTCAAATCTCTCCCTAATCGCTCCAAGTGTGTGAAATCTCTCTCTCTAATATCTCTCTACATTAGAAATCTCTCCAAGAATGTCAAATCTCTCCCAAATCCCTCTAGGCATGTGAAATCTCTCCCAAAATATCTCTTTGTATGAGAAATCTCTCCAAGAATGTCAAATCTCTCCCAAATCTCTCCAAGTATGTGAAATCTCTCTCAAATATCTCTCTGTATTAGAAATCTCTCCAAGAATGTCAAATCTCTCCCAAATCTCTCCAAGTATGTGAAATCTCTCTCAAACATCTCTCTGTATTAGAAATCTCTCCAAGAATGTCAAATCTCTCCCAAATTGTGACAATCGTCAATCTTGAGTCAAGTCAAGTCATCAAGTCAAGCCGGTCAACTCTATTAAACCTTGTGTATTAGGGTTAGTGTTATGTTCGTATTGTATAACTTGCTATGTTAATGGGAAAACATCACAGGAGAAAAGTTTGTGTTAAAAATTTCCTAAGCCTTCGTACTAATCAATGAATTAAACTGATGAAAACCATGTTGCATACTCATCGGGAATGTATAATATGCGTTTTTCCTGGTGAGTATTCATATAAAATATTTATTTCCTTAATCAAAACAACAAAAGATATATTTTTATTTATTTTTCCAATTTGCATAACTTTTTTTTATTGATTTAATAAAGTTGCATACCAAATTGTTAGGCTGTTACGATTTCACCACCTAAAATATGTATATTTGTATTATAATATATTATCTTGTTAGTATTTCATGAATGCAATCAATAACACTGCTTTGAATGCGAAGTTGGATTTAGCTTTGCTATAAGTTTCAATCGATTTTGAAATTGAGTATTGTTCGCATTTGTATGAGTGTAGTCGATGAATCGATAAAGCAAGAACATATGAGTTTTTGATTCGCAATTGGATTGATGATTGAGGGATGATTCGTGAAGAAAAACGCGAAGTCAAGGACTATGAAATTGTTGTTTGCAAGAATTTAAAAACTCGATTGTGGAGTTGTTGATGCTCATTTTGCGAAAGTAAAACAATCGAGTGTTCGCATCTATGAATCAATTTGAAGTCAATTGGGTTAATATTCGCATATGGGTTCAACATATGAAAATTTTGATTTCGCAAGTTTAGAGTTCAAGAACTAAACTGTGTTCGCATCTGGAATGAAAAATTTTGTGAATCGCATTTGATTAATTAGGTTAAAATGCGAAGGTGATTAATGCGAAGGGATGCGAAGGGTGTAAGAATGAAGATGCGAAGTATTTCACAGTAGAATGCGAATTGGGGAAGAAAACAGAAGATTTCAAATATTGTCCCTGGAGTTTCGCATTTTTGGAAATAAATACTCAACTTCGCAAATGGGGGTCATAAAATGATGAAATTGCAGAATTTTTAAAGAGATACACACACATAGACAACCACACATATATTTAGAAAATTAAACTAAAAATGGGATATAGACAATTATAAGACATTGTTCTTGACTTTTGAGTCCAAAGACGTATGATCCGAACTTTAATTGTGAAATCGTCCTTGATTGAGTCAATTTCCTTTATAGGAGTAATATATTCCATTGTGCCTTGCAAGTTAAAAAAAAAAAAAAATCAAAGTCACAAGCAACCACCCCACACCCACTCTATGACCAGCCATACCTCCCCACCTTACCTATGTCACTTCAATGTTCCCTTACACTCAAATTTCACTCACTCCCACGTTTTTGAGCTGGAACAATCAACCACACTCCTCATTTTCTCTCATTTCTCTCATTCCACTAAGTAACAAACATCACTTTTTCTCTCAAACTCTTCTACACAAATTTTCGAGATCCAAGGCTGGATTCAAGTGTTCTTCCACACTTAGTAAGTAAAAATTCATCCTCCCTATTATTATTTCACTTCATTCTACTCAAATCTTTGGTTGCTCACACAAACTCCCTAACTATGATGTTAGATTCTCGAAAACCTTCAAGGCATCTCCAAGTGTTCTTGAATTAAACACTTCCATTCTTCAACAATCATCTACTGAAATCACTCAAGGTGAGTTCATACCCCTACATTTTCATGTTTTCTCAAGTTTTCAGGGGGGAATACAAGTTAAAACACTAAGAACATAACTAGATTTTTCTAACAGCCTTCATCAGAAAAGTTCAACTCCATTCACGGACTGTTTTGGGCATCTTAAACATTTTTGTTTTCAAAACTGTACAAGGTGCAAATAGTTTAAGTTTTTAGCTTTAAAATGACTACTTGCACATCTCCATACGATTTTTCTACAATTTATGGTAATTTTTACAAAACTGCCTATCATTTCAAACAACAATCCGGACCAGTCTGTGATTATGGACTTTTTCACCCAAGTTAGAGGTCATTATAAATTGTGATAAAAATTATGAGCAAACTAGACACATTTTGTGAACTCTCAGAATTTACGGATCTAGTTTTCGACTTTGTATGATTTTTCTAGGATTTTTCCAAAACAGGGCAGAATTGCTAAATTTTACCAACAGCATGTAAATATCATAACACTTTGTATTATGTTGAGCAAAGTGTATAATCATAAGTTTTAATATTTGAATGTGTTTCCTAGTTAGTTTATCATTATGAACTGAAACTAAGACATTCATATTAAATATTATTCATTCATTTTGGAACACGTATTATTTAACTATAAGAAGTATAGTTTGAATATATTTATAACACTAATACATTTCCATAAAAGGGTTCATACATATTACATACATTTTAGATAAACTATAATAGGTATAGTTTATGTTACATCACTCTACGCACTCGTACAAGAAGGGTACATTCATACAAGAAATATTTATATTCACACACATTTCACGTAAACTTGTTATCCTATATCGTGAGTTTCTCTATTTTTCTCTTCTCTCTCTCTCTCTCCCCGTACGCCCGAGTGCGGGATATAATTCCTGGTAGTTATAATCAGAATCTCCTTGAGGGAGAACGTGATACTTGTATATAGATCTATATTGGGATTGACACCCCACACCTTGCTGCTAGCTACAGTTGGACCTGCAGGTCTACGGGTGACAAATGTCATTTTATTTTTCGCGACACTGAGAACGTCGTGGCAGGTTCACATAGTCATAGTATGATTATAGCGACTCACATAGGGATATAACAATCCATAAGTTTGCGGGATTTTATTTTTAAAACCTAAACGAGTTTTATGTCGATTTAAAATCACCTTTTTATCTCTATGAGTACAGATATTACTGTACACTTTTGGTTTTGGTAGTTACGACTACACATCATTTGAAACCGCATTTATACTTTTAAGTATGGTCAATACTTGTTATTACTCGGTCCTCTAATTTAGGACTACATATATATAATGTATTAACAAACATGAGAACGAACAGAAATTTCGTTTAATTCAAAAGTGTCCATGTCCATTTAAATACATAACATTTTCTACTAATAAGAAGGGTTACTTATACATTTTGGTCTTCAGTCATAAGACTACCTTACACAGATTTTAAAGAAAATATAGGATTTTCTGGATACATATTCTGACGCTTTTACAAGGAAAACGATTTACTTTTCTAACGAAATCTCTTATGAACTCACCAACCTTTGTGTTGACACTTTTCAAAACTACTTGTATTCTCAGGAATTCAGTGAAAACAGGAAATCAACAACGTTTTGAGGATGGGACGATAAATCGTCAAACAGTTCAATTCGTATTATAATGTAACTGATGTGAATCATGTAAACATGTGCTTCGATGTAACATTTTCAATTATATTTGTGTTGGTTGTATTTACTTTGAGCACTATTATACTCATTGTTGTGATACTCTACATGAAGTCCTCCACCCCCGGACGTTTCCGCCATCCTTGGTTTGGGGGTGCGACAAGTTTACGGCCCAAGAACAAGTCTTGGCCGTAAACTCCCCAAAATGTCACAAAATAAGAGTTTAATCCCTCCATATTGGTCCAAGACACATACCATTAAAGTAAGGAAGTGAAATAAGGCCTTAAACATGCAATTTGGAAGACCACATGAGCTTATGGCCAAGCCTAGGGGGCTTACGGCCGTAAACTCCCAAGGAGTGGCCTTTGGGCCGTAAAATCCAAGGGAGTGAGCTCATGGACCCTCCCGTAAATCCTTCTTAGCCCTAAACCACTCCCGGGAACCCCTTCTAGGCCCTAAAACCCCGAATGGATGCTAGAATGCCTCAATACTTAAACGGAAAGCATAAAATGATTAATTTGTTGTAAAACACATATTTTCATATGACTTTAGGGTCCTAAAAGGTGTACAAGTCATTGTTTGTAACAAAACGCTCAACCGACACTTTTACCCGATTTACCCGTTTCACCCGATTTACGCAAATTCAGGTGAGTTCATACCCCTTTAATGAACCTTTCAAATGTTTTATATGTTTTAGGGGGGAGATACAAGTTGAATATACATGTTTACGAAAAGTTATACAAGACAAATTTTCATATTACAGAATTAATCACATGTGATTCACTACCTGTAGTTCAAATCACATGTGATTTATCGTTATGCTTTATAAATAAGTCAATTGTTTTCAAAACTATCTTGGATAAACAAACAAGCTTTAAATGTTT